TGGAAGTCTCCCAGTAAGTTTAAAATGTGCTTTTCCTGGGGCTGCTACAAAACTGTCAGGAAGTTATAAGAGAGTGGATGCTCTCTAGAAAATTTAAGAAGGTGGGAAGAATAAAGATTTATATACTTACTTACTTACTTACTTACTTAGGTGATCCTTCGTTGTCTGAGAATGATGGTCCTCCAAGTGTAGTGTCTTGGTTGTGGGTCCATAAGTATTCTTGCAAAATATTGTTGTTGTTTATTCGTTCAGTCATTTCCGACTCTTTGTGACTTCATGGACCAGCCCACGCCAGCGCTCCCTGTTGGCCATGGCCACTCCCAGCTCCTTCAAAGTCAAGCCAGTCACTACAAGGATGACATCCACCCACCTTGCCCTTGGTCGGCCCCTCTTCCTTTTTTCCTTCCATTTTTCCCAGCATCATTCTCTTCTCCAAGCTTTCCTGCCTTCTCATTATGTGGTCAAAGTAATTCAACTTTGTCTCTAATATCCTTCCCTCCAGTGAGTAGCAGGGCTTTCTTTCCTGGAGTATGGACTGGTTTGATCTTGTAGTCCAAAGCACTCTCAGAATTTTCCTCCAACACCACAGTTCAAAAGCATCTATCTTCCTTCACTCAGTCTTCCTTATGGTCCAGCTCTCACATCCATAGGTTACTATTAGGAATACCATTGCTTTAACTATGCAGATCTTCATTGCTAGTGTGATGTTTCTACTCTTAACTATTTTATCAAGATTGAAAAGTTTATTCTGTGTTAAAGGAGTTTCTGGGATCTTGAGGGGCTGCACTTCCCCAATATTCTGGTTTTGGCCATTCCACATGACTTCTTGTGCCCTTGGAGGATGCAAATAACCACTTCTATACCCATCTCCAACATGACAGATCCTTAAGAGTTTTCTTCTGAAACCAGAAGAAACCAGATTGTCACTTCTGGATTTTGGGGGATGAAATGCTTCTAACATAAAAAAAAGATCAGGCCTTGAGCTCAAAAATATAACCAAGCCACCTCCCTGGCCCAGTTACTGTTGTAGGACAATCCCTTGCTCTAGTCACCATACTATCTATAAACACATCCTTTCAGGCATAGGGACTATATATAGAAGTGAGTCCCTAAGATACCTATGAACCTTGGCTTAGAACTAATTCCAAGGCTCTTTGATGATTTAAGCAAGGAACATACAGGGATTTGCCAACACTGGAGTAGCATCTGTCAGGTGTGGGAGATGGGTTTTGTGATATACACTGAGGAGAATAAAGGCACGGGGATTTGAGAGGCAGGTTTTGTGATCTATGCAGGCCAGCAGAAATGCAAATTACATTTTGGATCAATCTCATGTTGAGATTGATAGATAGTCTTGAAAATGGCATTCTTTTCTATATGACCAAATAGTAAAAAATGCTATGATATACACAGTTCACATAACAAAATGGCACATGCTAGCAAATGATATGTGAAATTGTAGTATTTAAGAGAGACAAAGTTTAAGAGAGACAATAACAAATCCAGTGGGGAAGGAGATCAGCCTTCCATAAACACGTGACCAAAGAAAATTGGCTAACAAATGTACCCAATTGCATCATGGTCCTTGTAGTAACATCTGTGCTCATTTTGGAGTGTGGTGCTCACTTGAGTTCAGACCGAAGTTCAAAGCCCACCATGATAAAATCTGTCAGGGAAAGCAGACCATTTAAACTACACAATCAAACAAAAACTATTGACAGAGTTCAATCTCTTCAGTCTTATTCTGGGTAATATGCATTCTGGAAAGCAATGCCAGAAGGTTTCTCCAAGCCCATGAGGAGGATGGGGTGGTAGAAAAATAATGAGGCTCATATGCATGCCTTTAAGGGGATTCATATATTCATACTAGCAATGAAAATCTCTGGAAATGGCTGATTGGAAAGATCTCTCATTATTTTGAGAAGAAAAAAACATTCCAGGGCTCATTAGATAACTTTCTTGTGATCTTGAGGACAGAAGGCATGGATGGCAATGAGATAAGTGCTTGAGGAGTTAAGTCAGAGGCAAAAAAACAAAACTCTGACACATACAACTCCAAAACACCAGAGAACTAAAATATGACTGTTGCTATAGCTTCTTACAAAACCTACTAGGAATAGAGCATCCATTACATCAGAAAGAATAAATAATATGTTTGCACATTATTAAGGAGCACGTTAAAAGGGAATTAAAATGTAATGTGTTTCTCACTATGTTGACACATCTGGTTTCCTGGGGTTTGCTCATGTTTTGAAGATCAAAGCTGCCCTATAACCAAGAATGATCAGGGAATGCTAGCGTTTATATCCGCGTTTTTCAACCTGGGGGTCACGAGACGGTGTCAGAGGGGTCGCCAAAGACCATCAGAAACACATTTTCTGTTGGACATGGGGGTTCTGTTTGGAAAGTTTGGTCCAATTCTTTTATTGGTGGGTTTCAGAATGTTCTTTAATTGTAGGTGAACTATAAATCCCAACAAATACAACTCCCAAATGTCAAGGTCTATTTCCCACCAAACTCCACCCGTGTTGACATTTGGGCATATTGAATATTTGTGCCAAGTTTGGTCCAGATCCATCATTGTTTAAGTCCACAGCGCTCTCTGGGTGTAGGTGAACTACAACTCCAAAACTCAAGATCAGTGCCCACCAAACCTTTCCAGAATTTTCTGTTGGCTATGGGAGTTCTGTGTGCCAAGTTCAATTCCATCGTTGGTGCAGTTCAGAATACTTTTGATTGTAGGTTAACTATAAATCCCAGCAACAACAATTCCCAAATGACAAAATCAATCTTGCCCAACAACACCAGTATTCAAATTTGGGTGTATTGGGTATTCTGCCAAATTTGGTCCAGTGAATGAAAATACATTCTACATATCAGATATTTATATTACGATTCATAACAGTAGCAAAATTACAGTTACGAAGTAGCAACGAAAAATATGGTTGGGGTGGCCGCAACATAAGAAACTGTCTTAAGGGGTCATGGCATTGGGAAGATTGAGGACCAATGATTTATATGATTCAGGTCTATATGAAAATCCTGCTATGGCTGCTAAGTGGAAAGGAGATCAATATGCCGCCTCTTTCCAGGAGCATCATAGTACAAGTAGCTTGTGGCTATATGTGTGAGTACCAGCAGCGCCCTGGAACATTTCCTTCAGTTACACCCATAATAATCCGGCCTTGCTCTTGAGTTTGAGGAGGTGGTTGATTACATTTCACTTCTCATTCCATGTTCTCCATACAAGAAAAACAAGGAAAAGAAAAACAACAAAGCTAGCTGCACACCCAGGATCCAGTGGGAGGGAGACAAAGCAAATGTTTCTAACTCATGCAGAAAAAAGCCTAGGGAAATGCAGAAAGGATCACAAAGTAGTCACTCTTGGCCATTTCTTACAATGAGAAAGACACCAGGGTGATCTCGGTGGTGGCCTTTGGGTAGATTTACTCCTGATACCATCTGGGAAATGTCCCAGAGGGCAACCTCGCCTTTGTATCAAATTTAATCTCCAATCTCATGTTCTCCAGAAGTTTAGAACTACAGCTGAATAGGGATGAGGAAAGTTGGAGCCCTACAACATCTGGAGGACATCATGCTAGGAAAATCTTCAAGAGCATACAGAATTTCAGGGAAAAGAGAGAGATGTAGATGGACAACAAGGTGAATAAATGTTAGGGACTCCTGTCAAAACAGCACGAGAAATTAGAAGAACCACTTCCCTTCCATTTTGTATGCAAAAGTAGCCCAATTGACAGCTTTGGCAATGGGTGGTGTTTTCCATCACGTCTAAACAGATGTCAGACTTTCAGGCTGATGGAATTTACTTTGTGTTTTGGGAGAACCCCAAGAATGAACGACTACAATCTAGTACAAAAGGTGCACATTTTGAGTAAAATGATTTTGAGCCTATGGGCACCAGAGCTGAACGGAGCTCACAGATTTTTCACAGAACATCCCACTTCCTCTCACTTTTATAATGTCAGGAGAGGGGTCAAAGAAGAGATCTTGTTACCACTGTTGAGTGACTAGGAATATGCTTCTCTGATACAGTTCCTCATGTTGTGGTGACTCCCAACCATAAAAAAAATTTCGTTGCTACTTCATAACTGCATTTTTGACGGTTATGCATTGTAATGTAAATATCTGATATGCAGGATGTATTTTCATTCACTGGAACAAATTTGGCACAAATACCCAATACGTCCAAATTTGAATACTGGTGCAGTTGGGGAAGATTGATTTTGTCATTTGCAAGCTGTAGTTGATGGGATTTATAGTTAACCTACAATCTAAGAGCATTCTGAACTCCACCAATGATGGAATTGAACTAAGCTAGGCACACAGAACTCCCATGACCAACAGAAAATACTGGAAGGGTTTGGTGGGCATTGACCTTGAGTTTTGGAGTTGTAGTTCACCTACATCCAGAGAGCACTGTGGACTCAAACAGTGATGGATCTGGACCAAACTTGGCATGGATACTCAATATGCCCAAATGTGAACACTAGTGGAGTTTAGGGAAAATAGACCTTGACATTTAGGAGTTGTAGTTGTTGGGATTTATAGTTCACATACAATCAAAGAGCTTTCTGAACCCCACCAACGATAGAATTGAGCCAAACTTCCCACACAGAACCCCCATAACCAGCAGAAAATACTATGTTTACTGATGGTATTTGGTGACCCCACTGACACCACCTTGTGACCCCCCCCCCCAGGGGTCCCCAGGTTTAAAAACACTGATTTAAAACATTTAAACCATCATCACCACTGTTAAGCCATGCTATTCATAATCGTAATCCAGGATGTTCCAATAGTCCTTGCAGAAAATTTTGTATCTGTGTATTGCATAGGTTCTCCAAAGGCTTGATCAAAGAGCCACGTTTTCACTCTTTTACAGAAGGTCAGGGGGGAGGGGGCTGATCTAATATCCTTGGGGATGGAATTCCACAGTTGTGAGGCCACCACTGAAAAGGCCTATCTCTTCTCCCTGCCAGTCGCACCTGCAAAGAAGATGGGATTGAAAGCAGGGCCTCCCCAGATGATCTTAAACTCCGAGATGGTTCATAGAGGGAGATACGTTCGGAGAGGTAAGCTGCGCCAAAACCATTTAGGGCTTTATAGGCTTTGAATTGCGCATGGAGGATTTCAGGAGTAGTTCCACTTCCCATCTACATCACAAACTTTTCAATGCAAACCAGTTATAATCCTCTGAAAATTAGGTTGCCAATTAAATTATTGACTGACATTAGCTATATGCAATCTAGCAATCCTCTCTAGGTCGACTATTGCTTGCAGGTATTTCCAGATGGCAAGATATGTGGAGTTTTTAAACAAAGTATATTTTTACTGAGGTAGCTCAGTTATTGTTTCTAACATATTGGAATTACAACGATTGCCTCATAATATTAATATATAGTAATACATTAATATAATACTATTACTATATTGCATTACTATATATGACATTCATATATAGTAATACAAAATAATGTACTGTCTTAGTGTTCTGTTTTAAATAATCCTTTAATCTGTCAATCAGCTAAAGACCTCATCACAGAAGTCCACATCAGGTTCATTCTTCATATAATGGACAGGAAGTTGCATGTATTGGCAGACTATACTAAATGCTGTCTTAAATTGTTAGAGCAAATAAACATCCACAGATCAAATTATCTCTACCAGGCAGAACACTTCTTCAACAAGCTAAGGAATTTCTCTGTCTCAAACCAAATTCGAATTTATTAATCCTAAACAGAGTAAGTCTGAATCAACAGGAAAATGTTAATTTAACGGTTATGCTAGCCGATAGGCTGTTAGGAATTGTGGGAGTTGGAGCCCAAAACACCTGGAGGGCTCAAGTTAGCTCATGCCTGGGCTAGTCCCATTGACTGTATAGCTATACTCTAGACAGCAAAATGCATTGCCTAGGAAAAGGCATGAGTATTATCTAGAGTGGCGTTTCTCAACCTGGGGGTCGGGACCTCTGGTGGGGCCGCGATGGAGTGTCAAAGGGTTCACCAAAGACAGTTATGAAATAGCAACGAAAATAATCTTATGGTTGGGGGTCACCACAACATGAGGAACTGTATCGTCTGGGGAGGCCCTGCTCTCGATCCCACCTGCGTCACAGGCGCGCTTGGCGGGGACGAGAGACAGGGCCTTCTCAGTGGTGGCCCCTCGGCTATGGAATGCCCTACCGGCAGACATCAGACAGGCACCTTCGCTGCTGACGTTTCGGAGAATGGTTAAGACCTGGCTTTATGAACAAGCGTTTGGTTAAGCAGTGCAACCAATCATAGGAAGACGGTAAATGGAACATAGGAATGGCACAAGGATTACGAGAACGGATCTGATTTCAACTGAGGCGTTATGTTATGTCTGTTTTGTTGATCTGTCTTGTTGATTGTTAACTGTTGTGGATTGATGCTGTTGATCCTGTTTGTTGTGTTGTTATGTTTTAATTGCACTGACACTGTTTGATAATTGTACCATGTAAACCGCATTGAGTCGCCTGTTAAGGGCTGAAAAATGCGGTATAGAAATAAAGCAAATAAATAAATATTAAGGGGTTGCAGCATTAAGTAGGTTGGAAAACACTGATTTAGTATTTCCAATAAAGTATTATCTCAGTATGCCCCCAGAAAACCCTTTGGGTACTTTCTTTCTATATAAGATCATTCGCTTTCTGTTAGATTTCAGACATGTAAAGACATTGAAGGAAGATCACTAGTGAGATAGAGATTTTGGAAAGTGATTTTGTTGTTGTTTATTTATTCAGTTGCTTCTGACTCTTCGTGACCTCATGGACCAGCCCACGCCAGAGCTCCCTGTTGGCCGTCACCACCCCCAGCTCCTTCAAGGTCAAGCCAGTCATTTCAAGGATACCATCCATCCATCTTGCCCTTGGTCCACTCCTCTTCCTTTTTCCTTCCACTTTCCCCAGTATCATTGTCTTCTCTAAGATTTCCTGTCTTCTCAGTATGTGGCCAAAGTACTTCATCTTGGCCTCTAATATCCTTCCCTCCAGTGAGCAATTGGGCTTTATTTCCTGAAGTATGAACTGCTTTGATCTTCTTGCGCTCCAAGGCACTCTCAGAACTTTCCTCTAACCCCACAGTTCAAAAGCATCTTATCTTCCTTTGCTTAGCCTACCCTATGGTCCAGCTCTCACATCCATAGGTGAGTATGGGGAATACCATTGCTTTAACTGTGTAGATCTTCATTGCCAGTGTGATGTCCCTACTCTTCACTATTTTATCAAGATTGGTCATTGCTCTCCTCCCAAGGAGTAAATGTCTTCTGATTTCCTGGCTGCAGTCTGCAAATTGAAAAACCACGAGGCAGTCATTTTGCTTGACTTTCCCAAACATATTTTTTTTATTAAATATTGCAACAGAAATGCTGTTCATTCACTTCTCTATTCTTTTCCTCTTGCCTCTAGATCAGTGTTTCTCAACCTTCCTATTGCCGCGACCTCTTAATACAGTTCCTCATGTGGTGGTGACCCCCAACCATAAAATCATTTTCATTGCTATTTCACAAGTGTAATTTTGCTACTGTTCTGAATCATAATGTAAATATCTGATACGCAGGATGTATTTTAATTCACAGGGATGAAATTTGGCACAAATACATAATACACCCAAATTTGAATACTGGTGGGGTTGCAGGGGGGTTGGGTTGATTTTGTCATTTGGGGGTTGTAGTTGCTGGGATTTATAGTTAACCTAATTCAAAGAGCATTCTGAACTCCACCAACGATGGAACTGAACCAAGCTTGGCACACAGAACTCCCATGACCAACAGAAAATACTGGAAGGGTTTGGTGGGCTTTGTTGGGTGAGTTGTAGTTCACCTACATCCAGAGAGCACTGTGGACTCAAACAATGATAGATCTGGACCAAACTTGGCAAGAATACTCAAATGCGAACACTGGTGGAGTTTAGGGAAAATAGACCTTGACATTTGGGAGTTGTAGTTGGTGGGATTTATAGTTCACCTACAATCAAAGAGCATTCTGAACCCCACCAACGATAGAATTGGGCCAAGCTTCCTACACAGAGCCCCCATGACCAACAGAAAATACTGTGCTTTCTGATGGTCTTTGACAACCCCTCTGGCACCCTGTTGTGACCTTTCCCAGGGGTCCCAACCCCCAAGTTGAGAAACACTGACCTAAGTGGAAGATGTCAAGTGAGCTTACACATAAAATAACAAAGCTTACTGAAACAAGAGAGAAATAAAAAGAGAACATTAGCAACAAATACAGGGCTTGGTAACACAAAACATGGTACGAGCAGAAAGTACAAAAAGAACAAACATGGTGCAACTAATCTACATAACTCGAGATGAAATCCAACTGTTAGTCCCCGTTGGAATAAACACATTAAACGAGTGAAATTTACATAAATGTCAACTTCTCAAATCCCCATCAGTTTAGTGGATCTAATGTCGGTTGGAGTAACAATTAGATTTAGGACACATTCCTTATATGAGATTGTAGCTCTTGGGGAAAATATTCCAAAGAGATATTCCACCAGACTACAAATTTCTACCATTGTAGTAACTTAAAACTGACTTGAGCATTTGTGACGGGTTCAAAACCAGTCCTTCAGCCCAACCTGTTTGAGGTCTCTGTATTACGCTGGGGATCAGGAGAGTATTCATTCCTATGAATCACAGCCAGGCTATTCTTCCTGATTCCAACACCACATGCTTCTCTTTGACTCTGCCAATTTGTGAAAATTATTGCATCAGTTAATTGCAAGTAAAATTACTTCCTTTTGCCATTGTTCCTGTTAAAGCTACTGAGCAGTTGTGTCACAAGCAAGAAGGCATTACACAGCAAGATCTACAAAGATGCCTGCCTTGAGGTATACATATCCTGTTATTATGACAACAGTGCTGAACTATACCAATGTTCTTGCTTCTTTGGGAACCACATTGGTTGCTTAGAGATGATACCTTAAAAATATCCTAATTGGAGGCCCTTGGGCATGTCACACCCAAGGACGGCACAAAGGAAGGCAACAAAACCATTCCCTGGAATAAACCTTGCCAAGAAAAGCCAGATAGGTTTGCCTTAGTGTCACCATGGGGACATGAGAGAAGCCTCCCCGCAGGATTCCAACACATCTGGGCATCTCCTGGGAAACATCTTTGTAGATGGCTGATTCTCTCACACCAGAAGCGACTTGCGGAATCCCATTGGAGCATTGGAGCACACCCAAATACCTGGGAGTTACCCTGGACCGTGCTCTGACTTACAAGAAGCACTGCTTGAATATCAAGCAAAAAGTGGGTGCTAAAAACACTATCATATGAAAGCTGACTGGCACAACCTGGGGATCACAACCAGATACAGTAAAGATATCTTTCCTTGCTCTGCTGTCAGGACTCAAAAATCACAACAGCAAAACAACAGAGGGGAAACAAACAGGCACATAAAATCACTCTCAACAAGGGATTCCCCCCGGGCACTTCCAAGCCATTGAATGCTAATCAAGGTGATCAGCTGAAACATTCACACCTAGCCCCAGCAGACAAGTCCTTTGTCTCACCCTGGTCATTCCACAGATATATTAACCCATTTTTCCTACTTCCAACAGACCTCACTACCTCTGAGGATGCTTGCCATAGATGCAGGCGAAACGTCAGGAGAAAAATTGCCTCCAGAACATGGCCATATAGCCCGGAAAAACCTACAACAACCCAGTGATTCCGGCCATGAAAGCCTTCAACAATACATTGAACAATAACTTTATTTTTGTACCCTGCCTCCATCTCCCCGAAGGGACTCAGGGCAGCTTACATGGGGACAAGCCCGATTAACAAGGTTAAAATATAGCACATGAAAATATCTAACTAACAAGATAATAACAGAAACAGAAGACCTCACAACTTCTGAGGATGCCTGCCACAGATGAAGATGAAATGTCAGGAGAGAATGCTTCTAAAACAGGGCCATACAGCCCGAGAAACCTACAACAAGCCAGTGATTCTGGCCATGAAAGCCTTCAACAATACATAGAAACAGAAAAAATACAACAACATTATAACAAAATATAAACAGAAAACATCAAACCAA